AAATGTATTATCAGCTTATGGTCCCCTTTCAGGATGTGCCCCTGTCAGTGGGACGAATGTCTCAGATTCCTTCTGATTTCCAGTTATCGTGTGCAGATTACCAGTACTGGTTTCGCCGTGGTCCCTTGCTGAATCATGCAAAATGGTGCTTTCCATTGTTAACCTGGCTATGACTCACGAACCATTTATGGGCATGGCAATAAAGTCCCCATAGTAACAGATAATCGCCAAATAAATACCATGTTTACAAAAGTTGTCCTTGGCATGTTGCAGTTTTGCAGGGCCCCAAATCGAAAGGGGAGGGTAGGGGAGAGAAGTGGAAGGTTCGAGTTCTCCCATTAGGTAATCTTGGGGTCTTCATTCTTCAAACCTCATTCCCTCCCAAGCGATCGTATTAATGCGACTTTTTAATTCTTTTTTCATTCATTTTAGTTATTTTTAGATCCCAATTCCCAATTTATTTCCCATATAGAGTCAATCAATCACGATATCATTTTTTAGATGAAATTTAAATAATATTTAAGTGATTTTTTGTTTTTTCGTAATGCTCGAATTAATCGTAGGGAAAGAATTCTCATTACTTATTTCTCATACCCTTTTAATCCAGAAATGATCAGATCATCTTCACTAGCACCTGTTTTTCAGTGAAATATCGTGTGATTGTGGTTTCACCGTCATTAACACCCTACAAGGACACGGTTACGGTGAAAATCTACGATCCTAACCAGAATGTGATCAGTCAATATGTCGATAAGGCACTCACAAAAGGTTTGTTCGACTTTTTTCTAGGTAGAAATCGAATTTGTCCGACCAAAAAACGGGTAAAGCAAAATAAAAAAAGTAATGATCCAAATGGAATAAGAGTCATCCGTGAAATTTCGATAGTCTTCTAACTCATTTTCTTCCTATTGTCTAGTGAAAGTGTATGGTCTGCAGAGCATTGGCTTCGAGGGTGGGATTTGTGAAATGGGCGTGGATTCCTCTAACGAATTGACCTTTCTTCGCACTGAAATCGGGTGTTTTGCTTTGTTTTACGTGCTGATAACACAACGAGAAACTTCTGAAATTTTTTACAAATTATCGTATGGATGGCTGGCTAAATCTGACTTTTAGGCGTATTTTCATCGGAGCTAGAATTGGCATCGGAGCCACCGCTTGGTGAATGGCAAATTCAAGTAGAAACAGCCAATAAACTAAAATACACAAAATCATTTTCTGTCGAAAAGGTAATGATAATTACGTAGTGGAATAGCTCGTAGAGAAGTTTTTCAACGAAACATTTTACCATTTTTCATTCCAGTATGTGCTGCCAAAATTCGAAGTGAATATCAAAACTCCTTCGTTCATCACAGTAAATGACGATCTTTCGTTACTAGTTGATGCAAAGTGAGTTGCTCTCTATAAAACTGTTAAATCGTTCATGTCCCCTTTTCCCACCAAACCCAAAATTGAGGAGTTCCTTTTCAAACGGCTTTTTGAAAGCCGAGAACGAACCGGGATCACCCAAACTAAAATTAGCCCACTATCAGGCCAACTGTCGTATTTGCTCAATAACTGTTTTGTAATGGGATTTAGATAATTCTTTTATGGATACAAGGGTTTTGTAACTATCATTTTGGGCGCAAGACAATGTTCCATACTCCCAGACTACCTTGCTGCCAAATTGTCCACGAAGAAGAGATGTTGTTCTCTTGGGATTCGAGTTGGGCTCTCATATCAAGTTCTATCTATTATTTCCTCAGGTATACCTATGGCAAAGGAGTTGCCGGTAAGGCGAAGGTCACTTTGGAATTGCCATGGCATCGATGGCATCCAATTCCGAAACCGATTATCGTGAACGATGATGGAACCACTTCTCAGGTAATAGTGGTTGTTCTACCTGAAGTATACCCAACTCTTAACTAACTGTATAAAAGTTCTGCTGACTGATGTAATCGGTATGGAAATAACTAAATAGCCAAGGTGTTCCTTCAGGTCGAGGAAGAGTCGCAGATCGAACGAACGGTGAAACTGAACAACATGGGTGAAGCGACTGTTGTATTTACAAATGAGGAGATGAAAAAACATAAATTGGTTCAGGTAAGCTCCCAGGACCCTACGTTTGATATAGGTCGAGTTAGGAGCTCTGCATAGGTGGTGGTTTGAGTTCTATCTGAGACTCGGGACTTTGTCGCTACTCTAGATATTAGGTCATAGCGAAAGTTTCCCTATTCAGGACTACGGAGGTGGAAGCATTCGAATTATCGCTACCGTGACCGAAGATCTTACTGATATACAACGAAATGGAACGCAACATGTTAGTTTAAAACATGTTTTCAAAACTCTGTATTGATCAAAGTGGTTTCAAGCCCCGCCCATCACTGGAGCGACCACGGCCGAATTTTCTTCCATTTCAATTTCGCTTTTCAATTTCACCTTTATGGGATATGGTCTTTGAACACTTCCCAATTACATAGAAATCTAGATCTCTACATATCGCTATGATGTGAAATTGGATGTGGAGAAACAGGGTGACACCTTCAAACCTGGTCTTACCTACAACGTTGTAGTCGCTCTGAAACAGATGGATGACACACCTGTGAAGGCTACCGTACCCAGACGTGTGCAGGTATCCCTTTTTGTTCTGCTCATTGTTTACTTGTTTACTCTACAGTTCCTTCTAGCCGTTTGAATGTTTACAAGAGAGACTGGCGATTTTTAGCTTTTTGCTTCTCCTTTTTTGTCATAATTTTCTTAGTTACTCAGATTTTGGCTATTTTTATCGTTGCAGCGTACCAAGTAACTCAGTAAATAAACAAGTCAATGAGTAAATAGGTTAGAGGGGTAAGTAGGTAAACAAAGTAATAAAACGCAATTTAGGTCACCACGTTCTACAATTATCCGTTCAATCCGGATTCACCAACACAGCATGAAGATAAAGAAGTGAAAATTGTGGATTTGGATGCTCATGGAACTACCGTACTCGCTTTACAGCCTCCTCTTAATTGTACCAGTGCCAGGATTGAGGTAACCAAAATTCCTTTCTGTACCCATTCCTTGGCTTTCGGTGGAACATGGTGCCTACTCGACACCTTCCTAGATACTGCGGGGAAGGTGGCTTATTTTGGGCCGGAGTAGGAGAGCGATGAGGTAAATCAAGATTAGGAGCACCTGGAAGCCAGAGAATCGGTCCTCTTCTAGAACAAAGGGACAGATTCTCTCGCTGGGGCCTAATTAGGGTCCGACCGTCGTGTTATCCAGTAATGAGCCCTTTTTCAGGCTCACTACGACCGTAGTGGGAAGGACAACTTTACCAATGCCGTTATCTACAGTAGTCTGTATGTGGAAGCAGGCAAGTCACCGTCGAATTCATTCCTTCAATTAATCGCCGACAACGAAGGAGCCGTCGATGTTGGCAAAACGTTGTCATTCTCAGTCAAGGCAACCGAACAGATACCTGTGCTTACCTACCAGGTTTGAAGCAGTTCCTCATCTTTTTTTAATGGGAATTCACGGTTGGGAGGAAAAACCCACTTTGGGTACTTCAGGTAATGTCTCGAGGAGCTGTTGTTCTGTCAAAAGAAATCCCGGTGAACTCTGATCATACTACCATCTCCTTCACAGCCACAAATGATGTAAGATATTACTAATTTCTTTTGTATAATTAGTCTCCACGAATTTTTGTAATGCTCAGTACTTTTTTTATAAGACTCTTCGAAGTAGAATGTGGAATGTTTGCTCGACTTGCTTTCTCCTTTCTCAAACTTAAAATTTTCATATTTTAGATGGCACCAAAATCCAGACTGATCGCATACGCTGTCCGATCAGGAAATCAAGAAATACTAGTGGATGCCACAGATTTCAAAGTCGACGGGCTGTTCAGAAATAATGTGAGTTATCACCGCTACCAAAGGTTAAGTCTGTTTCGCTTTCCTCTCACCTTGAGTATAAGCCATAGGGGCGTGGTCTGTGAAAAAGGTGTGAGTGTTCAGAAACGAGAGGCAGTTCTTACCCTCGTCGTCGTGCTTTTTCGATGTCCTTATCTACTTACTTGATTTTTCTTAATAGAATAATTTTTGAAATTTTAAAAATCGATTATGAGGGCCAGGCCCACATACCGCTTTTCTCCTGCCCCACCCCTTTCCCACAAGCCACGCCCATTCGGCCAACAGCGTGAACGTTGAAATCGAGAATGGGTCAGATTTAGCTGCGCCGCCATTAGATCTCGTTATTGGGCATTAAAATTTATTCCTTCTATCCAAAATTTTTCTACCGTTTTTGAAGCCTTTTGGCCTGTTTCCCTTTTTAGAATATGAGCTCAAATAGAAAATTCTAAAATTACAGGTAACACTTACTATCGACAAGTCATCTGTTGAACCCGGTGAATCAGTGTCGTTCAAAGTCTCCGCTGATCCGGAATCTTACGTTGGCCTCCTAGTCTTGGATCAGTCAGTGCTACTTCAAAAGTCTGGGAACGACATCACACCTCAACTGGTAGGTGATCTCATTTCACCTTATAGTAGTGTCGTTTCATTGGTCAAGACCTACCGTCGTGCAGATTGAATCGGACATTGAAGAATATGACACCACTGGCTTCCAAGGTGGCAGTGGTTTCCGACCATGGGAAGGAGCAATCGAAAGGAAAAGGCGAAAGGTACCACCAACTGATTTTTTCGGATGTCGGCTAATTTCGGCTTCAAAATTTCAGAGATCCATATGGAATCCATGGTGGGGTGTTGGTGGGAAGGATGCAGCCAGTATTTTTGAGGTAAGTTATTCGGAGGTTCTAGGTAATTCTGTCATTCGGAGGGCACTGAAGGATGAAGCTAGAGAGATTCTCGGCTTGTGCATGAGCACTGGAGTGGGGTTGTTTGTGAACTTTAACTTTCAGGTTGTTTGACTCAGTTTGTATTCGTTAGAATATTCCAAATCGTTTCAGAATGCCGGCTTGGTTGTATTGACAGACGCGTATCTATATCGCCAACCAGATCCGCCAAGTGCGTTGGTATTACGGTAACACATAGTCTGCCAGAGTTCCTAAAGATGCATTCCGCGACGAGGAACGTCCTGTAACTGACCACTGCTTTCTTGTCAGCGCTCTCCATCATATCAGCAGGCACTAGGTCGGTCGAGGGGCGGGCGCTCCTGTGGAGGCGTGGTTTCCTGTTTTTCAGGGAACACCACTCCATTAGCAAGGCTACTTCCAAAGCAGATTTGCCCTTTATCGACTATCTTTTCAACTAAGTACGTACGCTCTCAGTAGTTCGAACTTGAAACCGTACCTCATTGCGGAATGCTTCTGGATGAGAGCTCTGGTCGGCCCCATAACTACCGTGGAACGATCCGAACTCACAATTCAAGCTGTTCCCGTATGGGAATGAACCAAGCCTCGAAGAGGTTATATGCTTGCCATTAATGGTCGATCGCTGAAAAATTTCAGTGTGAGCTGATTGCCGCAAAGCTCATCCGTTCAGTTTCGGGTACCAGAGAACAGTCTCCGTTATGTTTCTCGAAATTTCGGAGCAAAGGTGTTCCGAACGTTCCACGGTAGTTTGCATGTCAGATATCCAGTGTTATCATTGTTTATCACTAATCATTACAATTACTAACTACTTGGTGTGGTCATTGTGAAACTACTGCTTGGATTTGCAGCGCTTTGCCTGGCTTTTGCACCTAACACTTTCTTAGTTGTATCATTCACAAACACACGAATAGAATATAGTTCTCGATGTCCTTTAAAAGGCTATTATCCCTGAATCATCGTTGATTTGAACTTTTCTAAAAAGAATTCAACGTTTCCTGTTTATTTTCAAAATCTTTCTGAAGACGAGTTCTTTCCGAACTTTTCTCTTTTCACTTTGACCGATGCTTTGATATCCAGTGCCTTCCGTACGAGGATCAGACCACGCTTCAGCNNGTACTGCCGGGCATGATTCGCAGCACGATCACCCATCCCTCTTATACAGCCAGCATGCTCTTTTCCTGATCACTTGCGGACACTGTTGCTTCCACCTTCCCACTTCCCAGTCGCGCCATATCACCGCCTTTCCACTGCCCTTTGAACACTTCGATTCATTTCATTGAATCTTCATAGTGTTCCTTCAAATGGCCCAAATGTCAAAAGCTGCTGTCGCCATAGATCATCTTGCCGAAATTGTTCGACCAGCTACCAGTTCGATCCATATTCGTTCGGTGTTCCCGGAAACATGGATTTGGAACGTTTCAGAGACGGAGTTCGTGGTTCAAGTTACTTTACTCTCTTCTCTCACTCTTGGGTTAACAATGTTCGCAGTGAAATCAGGCATTGCTCCTTCTGGTACCTTTTTTAAAACTATTTGGTTATAATAAGTTTTATAGTAAGATCAAATTTATGCTCCACCTTGTCGTGGGACGGAAAGTGACTGACCTTCAAGAGAATGAATTGTTCTAATGCGCGGTCTAATTGTTCAAAAGTTAACTCCGGGATAAAATGGAAAATTGTTTTTCATGAATTGTAATAAAATGATGTCGGTGGAAATAAAAAAAGTTTTGTAATTCACTTTAAAACAACTGATTTTGGGATTTTCCGGGCACATTCATATCCCATCCAATGAGATTTCACCTCCTAATTTTTTCCCGAGGCATTCGAGTTTAATAGTTTTTGACTTACCCGTCAAACGCCGTCAAAATTTGAAATTTGAAAATTTATATCAATTGAATTGAAATCTCGAAATTCATCTGAGGTTTCCGAAGGGTCAGGGTCCGGGACATTAACATCACCTCACTTGAACCACTCTTCTTTTTTTCTGAAGCAGCAAGTCATATAACCTTTGAGATCTTAACATTTTCTTACCACATGAGCAACTACGTCGTAAGAAACTTAATTTTTTCACATTTTTATACCACCGTTGGGTTGTTTTGGTAATGGCATAACGTAGCAGTACGGAACGTGTTTTCTTCAGTTCTCATTAATCTGTTGGTCCTACAGGAGCGTAAGCTCCCGAGCAGCACTGCACTTTTCGTTTACGGTAGTATTTTGGGCATGTGGTTGACTGGTTACGGTACGCTTTGTCTGTCGTCGTTCTCCAGAACACGACTTTGTTTGTAAGGAGAAGCGTCTGAATCTGCACGATCGTCGTCATCAGTCATCAAAATCGTCGATGCACTCAGTCCACTTTCTTCTTATGTTGTAGTGCATCGTTGTCCCAACTATCGTCTTTGTACAGTACCCTACACTACAGTACACTGCTACCGTATACTTCAAGGATGTCCTACCAAACCGAATTGTTCCAGCGCGTGTATTTTTCACGCCCGTAATGGCTCC